AATATTAATAATAATAATAATAAAAATAATAATATAAATAATATAAATAATATAAGTATTAATAATAATAATATTAATAAAGTAATAACAGAGCAGCAGCAGCAGCAGCAACAGCTGCTGCTGCTGCTGCTGCTGCGCGGCTGCTGTCTGTAGGGGGTCTGTTCGAGATATGTTTTTGTATTTGTATGAAAGTAGAAGAAGATAAAAAGCAATAAAATGTTAGAAATATATTAAATGAATAAAATAAAAGATAATTAATTTGTTTTCTTCTGAATAAACTCAGACAAACAAAATATTTATAGCTAGCAGAGCTGCTGCTGCTCTCTCCTTAGGTCTTGCTGCAGCTTAACAGCTGCAACGAGGCCGAGGCGTATATCTAGGTGTATCAACAGTAATATTATTATTTTTATTTAATTAGTTTGTTTATTTTGTTTATATCTCTCTTTTTTTAATTTCTTCGTTGCTCTATATTGCTTCTTTTGCTGCTGTATAGACCCTCGGCCAACAGCAACTTTGTATATTTTTCGTCTTCTTGTGTGAACTTTTCTGTCTTTATATATTTATATAGGAGGCTTTTTGTGTTTTATATCTCTTTAAAACCCCTCAGCTGCTACATCTCTGCATATACTCTTCTTCTGCTGCCTCCGGTACTCTTCTTCCTGTTGTTGTGCTGTTGCTATTGCTGTTGCTGTTGCTGCTGCTGCTGCTGCTGCTCATGGTGGGCTTCGATAGCTATGAAGAGACACCGCATTGGGGGGCCCCCAACGAGGGCCCCTCTGATGATCCTGTATGCCCTTATGAATTGTATTTAGCGGGGGTCGCAATGAATACAGCTCAGCGTACATACACTTCAGCCAGAGTTAAAAGAAATAAACGTAAGATGAAGCGGAGGCAGCTATTAGCTTTATCTGTTTTGTTTGCTGCGTTTCTTACAGCAGTCTTTACTAAAGACTTGTTTCAATCTTGCATGCAGGTTGCTGCACAGATCCTGCATGCACTTAAAAGAGGCCAGACAGCAGAAGCTGTTGCTGCTGCTGCTGCTGCAGTAAGAGAGTTTGCTTCCTCTGTAACAGCAAAAAAACTGCTGCTACCAATCTTTCTTACTGTCTCCTTGCGTATAGCAAGACAGAAAATCATAGACAGCATGGGGCCTGAAAGAGACCAGCAGCAGGAGCAGCAGCAGCAGCAGCAGCAGTTGCAGCAGCAGCAGCTGCTGCTGCAGCAGCAGCAGCAGCAGGAAGGACGTGGGAATAATCTTGTCTTGGGGCTGGGTTCTGAGTGGCCACGCCGCATGCAGCACAGCCTCTCTGGGTCTTTCTTGCTTTCTCTCTGTCTATTGCTGCCCTACATTTATTCAATCGCTTGCATCGCAATCTGTAAGTATTTCTTTGTTTCTTGTTTTGTTTTCTTGTTTATTCTTCACTCTTTTCCTGAGGGTTTGTCAGCGTTTATTGCGGTTTTGGGTTTTATGAGGGTTCGTTAGGGTTTAGGAGGGTTTATTAGGGTTTAGGGTTTATGAGGGGTAGTGAGGGTTTAGGAGGGTTTGCTGGTGTTTATTAGGGTTTGTGAGTGTCTCTGTGGGTTTACTAGGGTTTATAATGGTTTATAAGGGTTTATGAGGGTTTATAAGTGTTTATGAGAGTTTATTAGGGTTTATAAGAGTTTATTAGGGTTTATGAAGGTTTATAGGGGGTGGTTTACAAGGGTTTAAAAGTGTATATAATAAGGGTTTATAAGTGTTTATGAAATGCCTTGATGAGTTTATGGTTGTTGCTACTTAGGGTTTAGGGTTTAGGGTTTAGGGTTTAGTGTGTGTGTATGTGTATGTGCATGCAGCATTAATATTTTTGTATTCAGTGAACGCCCTGCGTCGCATGTCATCGCGTTTTAATTATTTGTATATTCAGCTGCTCTCGTGGATGCTGCGAGAAGCAGAGAAAGACCCCAGAAAGACAGCAACAGCAATACCCTTCCTATGGGGGTCTCTTTTTGTGCTGCTGCTGTCTCCTAGACACCTCTCTGCTCTTTGTATCAGTCTCCTTTCTGTTGGAGACCCGGCTGCAGGGGTCTTCCGCAGCTACTGCAGGCGTCGAGCAGCAGCAGCAGCAGCAAAAAGAGCAGCAGCAATACCAGCAGCAGCAGCAGCAGCAGCAGCAGCTACTCCTCATGCTGATGCACGGGCTGATGATACTGCTGAGAGTGCAGAGATGTCTCAGAAGAAAGGCCTACAAGAAAAAGTAAAAGATGTTAATAATGTCTCAGTAAAGTCTTCAAAGGTTGCTGCTGCAGAGGGGAACAGCAGCAGCAGCAACAGCAGCAGCAGCAGCAGCAGCAAAAGCAGCAAGAACAGCAGCAGCTACTGCTGCTGCAAGGACAACTATACAGGCAAGAAGTGCTGGTGTGGGTTCTTCGGGTGTATGTTGGTTTGTGCTGCTGTGACAGTACTTATTGCTCTTTGCTTTGCCTGGCTGCTGCAGCCTGCAGCAGCAACACCGGGTTTATCTGCAGTAGCAGCAGCAGCAGACGCTGCAGCAGCAGAAGCAGCAGCAGCAGCAAGGGTAGAAAACCCTGTTCTTCGCACTGTTCTCAAATGGAGCGGCTTGCCTTACCCGTGGCCCTCTCTTGCTACAGGAGATGCAGCAGCAGCAGCAGCAGCAGCAGCAAAAGCAGCAGGAAAGGAAGCAGCAGCAGAAATGTACATAGGGGGTAGGCTGCTAAGCGGAGAAGCAGCAAGTTGGGTTTGTTTGCTGCTGGTAAGCTTGGTAGTAGGGTTTGTTGCTGCAGCAGCAGAAGCATTTCCTTTACAACGCCTTGATGACAATATTCTGATGCCTGTTGCCTGTATGGTTTGCTTCACTGGGGTTTTTGGGGTGTATGTACACCTCAGAGGCCTGGACGGTGCTGTCTTGCTGCCTGAAGATGTACAGCATTTAAACATCTTCGATGAGATCGGTCTGCTGCTCTTCGGTTTATAACTTTATAAAGGGAAGATGTTTAATAACATTGCGTTTATTATTTTAATCGTATTGAAACCCACAAACAAACGCACAAAACAAGCCCTCATGCTGCTGTTGCTGCTGCTGCTGTCGTTACTGTTGCTGCTGCTGCTGCTGTTCCTGCGGCTGCTGTTACTGTTCCTGCTGCTACGGCTGCAGTTGGTTGCACCAGTGTTGTGTAGTACCCAGCCTATTCGCGGGTCTACTTAGCTAGCTAGCTTAGCTAGCCGAGCTTAGCTAGCTGTAGATAAGAAAGCTGCAAAGCGGTAACCGTTGAGGGTTTCCTATAAAAGGTTTCAGTAAAGATACACCCAAAAGGCAGCGAAACTCCCAGAGGAGCAGAGCATGCACGCATGCACGCAACTGAAGCTGCTTCGCTAGCTAGCTAGCTAGCTAGCTAGGGCAGCTAGCCACCTGCGGGTGAGCCGGCACAGGCTGTCGATGAGATTCCCCTGACAAGGCCCTTTGTGTTCGCAGACCCTTGCTCTGCTGGCTAGCTAGCGGCACGTTAGCTAGCTAGCTAGCTAGCTGGCGAAACTCTAGGGCAAGAGCTAGCGAGATACAGAGGTGCGCAGCCTCAGTTTTCTCTCCATCTAAATCTGCACTCGGCGCAGGTGAAGAAAGAAGTCATGGGCTCATCAGAAGAACGAATCTGAATTTGATAGAAGAAGGCCTCTGTGTGGTTGCAGCTGGGGCAGACAGCTGCACATACACCCGAAGCACACAGCCAGATCACGCTTAGATATGCACCGCATTCTATGAAGCACCAATGTAAATTCAAGATAAACACTCTGAAAAGGTATATATGAGGCAATAGCATAAAGAAAAGAAGACAAAAGAAGAACAAGAAATGAAGAAAAGCTGCATTTGAACGCACCTGGTATTTTTGCACCCGTTTCCTGCAGATTATCTGATATGGGTTCGTCAATCTTCTTTGGAGTTAATACTGTCTTTCTTGATACTTTTTGCTTCAATGCATAGATATATGGGCATGTGCGACAGTAGAACTCCATCTGAGCCTCGCGCCGCAGCAGCAGCATGTTGTGACAGGTGGGGCAGAACAAAGCCATATTATTATGAATTCAATTCAATACAATTAAAATAAACGATCTAGATATATATATATATATATAAATCAAAGATAAAACAAAAAAATACTCTTCTCCATCATATGCATCCTTCTGTTCCCCTTCTGTTCATATTCATATTCACATTATTCAAATTCATATTCATATTCATATTCATATTCATGATGGAGGCAATCGGATGATATTCTGCATATTTATATGCTCCTCTTTGGTAGCTTTGCGTTGTGAAACTTGAAAAAGAAACATCGGGAAGGGTTTTAAGCCTTCTCTTGCTTTTCTTGCATCGGTAACGCGGCACTGCGTGGCTGTTTATAGGCGTAGAGGTGGTAAGGCAGCCGTCTTTCAAAAAAAAGAGTTAAGAAGAAGCTGTTATTCTGAATTTGCTGGTAGATGAACTTTAAAAGACAAGATGAGGGAGAAGAGTGCGAGTTCTTGAACACGAAACGGGACGAAGATGAATCTGCATATCTGATGGAAACAGCCGAAAACTCCGCCTTCAAAGAAGCTTATAGGAGTTGAATATGAAAGATTAAAACTTACATTAACTTTTTAATGAATGTTTTTCACTGGACATGCAGCAAAAATTACTCGGGTATCCAAGTGTTCTTAGAACGGGGCTTGGGGGCGCAGATTCGACGCGATCTTCCGCCTTCTGCTACCGTGAAGCAAGGAAACAGCAATTCTTTTGATCAGAAAGAGTGTTTGTTATTTGAATACGACTCTAGTCTTTGTGTAAGGGGTTACTTTAAATGAAAAGTTTCCTTCGGTCTTCACCGGCTCATTCAGGTGTCTGTTCAGCTCATTCTGCTTGGCCCCACACGAAACCGCGGAAACTGCTTACGTCCTTCATCGGTTTGTCTGTGTCGTTTAGTTTGTTTTTTAGTGGAAATCTACCACTTAATTCTTTTGCCCTTTCTTCCCCTTGCCATCCTCCCAGTCCCACCCATTCAACTTCCGCATTTTTGCTGCATCGGCAGCGAAACTTCGTGGGCTCGACCGCACGCACTTCTCCTTTTGCGTTGAAATTCTCTCAAAGAAACTTTTTGAAAATGAGCGGATCAATCAGCCCAACGGACTCTGCTGAGACCCCCACTTTCTCTCCTTCTCAGGAGGAGCAAAGTGTGATATCGCGCGTGCTCGCAAAGTAAGTCTTTTACTCGTTGGAGCTCCACTGCAGGTTTACGCAATAGGATCATACAAGGGTAAAGTCTGGGTTTACTCTCAGATATTCAGAAAAGAGCAGATAAGCTCAGGGGGCCCTGTGCAAGTAGAGTCGATCGAAGCTCTTCATCTTCTGTCTGCCGTCTGTTGCCCCCTTCTCTTTTGTATATATTTCTGCTTCTGTCTATTTATCACTTGCTGCCGCAGACACCCGAGGCTGATGCTTGTCCGGCAAACCACTCAACTACGCGCCATCATGACGATCATAAGAAGTAATGCAAACACATTTACAATAACAGAAAAGCAGAGAAATATGCACAAAACAATTGAGACTGTCTTTCATTGTTGTACTATCTTTAGGGTTGCGTTTACGGTGTCTTCTTGGAGTGTCTGTATACTGTGTCTTTGCTTTAATATGAAACTAATATCCATTCATTACTTTGTATTGCATATTCATATTGTGGTGTCTGCTGCTCTCTGCTGAACTTTAGGAGCGATGCTGCGGCCTCTGCTTTAATTATTATTTGTTTTTTTTGTTTTGTTTTGTTTTGTGTTGCAACTGCAGACAGGGAAACCCGCAAAGAAGAATTCAGTAAGAGGCCCTCGAACATGTTGTTTGTTCTTTTTCTGCATTTGTTTGTTTGTCTGTTGTCTGTTGCATTTCTCCTACCTTTTATTTGTTTATAATTTATCTTTTCTCATATTTTGTTTGCTGCAGTCTTCTATGCGGATCGGGCTATCCGTCTTCTGATAGAAGAAGCGCTCAATGGTGAGAATATATAGCATTAAACCCCTGTTGCAATTGCTGCAGCAGCTGCTGCTGTTGCTGCTGCAACAATTGCTGCAGCAGCTCCTGCTGTTGAAGCTGTTGCTGCAGCAACTATTGCTATTACTTATGCAGCTCCATCTGCTGTAGCTGCACCATTTGCAGCAGCTTCAGTTGCATCTATTGCTGCTGCAAGGTACGTGCATGCATGTATATCCCTATATATATATATATATATATATATATATATATAT